TCCATAAGGTTAGTAATACATTATAAGGATCATTCTTTTCATCTTTCCTAATAGAGAACCGTTAGTTTTTTTCTAAATAAAATATTTTAAAAACTATTTTTATTATTTTAAATTTGATGCTAGTTTAGTTTTATAGTGTAGACCTTATGGTCTACACTTTATTTGCACGTTGTGTTTCACCACCTTACCTTACGTGGCAACACCAATTTGTTGGCTTCTCTCTCGACTCCCTCAACGTGACAACTTAAGAACCCCTTTGGTATACTATTGACCACCCATATCATTATCCGTTGACACGTCTAAAGTGAGGTGTTATAAAAGCTACTCTCTCTTACCTTTAATATAATAAGGCCTCTTCTGTCTAGCTTTTATTTCAAAGACACTCTTTCTCTCTAGTGTTTGTTATCGGGAAAATTACAAAAAAAGAAACTCTAAAATGGACTGTACAACTCACCTAACCCCAAATTATTTGATTCATTTTTTCTCCCAAAATTTTTCTTAACAAAAAAAAAATATTAATTTTATTCTGGAAAAAACATCTCATTATAAAAAAAAAATTATTATTATTTGAACGAAAATGCTATTTCCATATAAATCAAATGAATTCTGTTTGAACTGCCATTTTCATAATGCCGGAACACTGTAGTTCATATCTGCATCGTCGGAGCGCATATTTAGAATGGAGCAGCGCTTGTTTATACTGTCAGAGCACGATCCTTCATTACCGGAGCTCTGTGGTTTCAAAAGCTTCATTGCCAGAGCTAAATGTCAGAGCGTGTTTTAGCACTACCGGAGAGAGTTCTTGTAATGTCAGAATGCTGCGGCTCAGACCCGGAGCAGTACATTCATAATGTCAAAAGCACGCGTGAAAACATGAGAGAGGCCGTGTGCAAACAAATAAAAGTGGTTTAGTCTTATTTCATACTACCTTTCCGAGGTTATTTGCAGGAGAGGTTGCTTGGAGGATATAAGTGAGAGAATTGGAGGATGTAAGTGTGAGAGAAAAGATGGAGGTGGGGTAAGTTGATAGTCTATTTTAGGTTTTTTTTTTTTTGTTTAAATAAACTCTCTCTGTGCGATTCCTTTCTGTGCTTCTCTCTCGTATGGATCAATAGTGGAGACATAGAAGAAACGTATGGATCAATAGTGGACACATCTTTTCTGTGTTTCTCTCTCGTATGGATCAATAGTGGAGACATAGAAGAAACGTATAGATCAATAGTGGATACATAGAAGAAAGGGTTTGGTTCTCTCTTTGCAGTTTATGTGGTGGAGTGGGTTATATGATGCTGATCATCAGGCTTCTCTGTTCACCAAAGCGATTCTTTCAGTTAGTCTACTTTTGGGGTTCATCAGTTCCTCACAGAGCGCTGGACTGGTACACCATTTCACTTCACAATATCTCTGTTGATTAAATAAAACAAATTCATTCTCCATGGTAGAAAGAGAATTAGAGAAAAGCAGGCGTGTTGTCAATTCTGCGGGCTTTCATGGGTCCCTTTCCTGCTTGGTTTTGAGGTACGTTCCGGCAAAGTGTGATCAGTTTTGGCTGGTGGATGAATGGTGGTCCATTGATTTTGACAAAATCAAGAAATTGTCAACTGGAATTCGATGGATCCATCCATTGAGAATGAAGGTAACGATAAGGGAAGCATGTGGGTTCTCGAGTAAAAGCTCGACCAGCCCGTGGATGAAGAGGCTGGTCGGCTTCTGAGCATGTACGAGGAGAAGAAATTTTTCAACTGTATTTACTCTGCGCCTTGCACGTCTCCTTTGTATGTATTTTACAGCACCTTTCCTCAAGGAATAAATGCCCCAGAAGATGTGATAAGAGCTCTTTCACTGATTATATACTCTGTTAACTCTTATCCCACTTCTCAAATATTTATTTTTGGCCTTGAGGGCAAATGAAAATGGCCAAGGTAAGTTGCTTTTGGTTCAATCCTCTGTCAAATGAACCATGCTAATGCATTCACATGGAAAATCACTAGAACGTGTGATTGAGTATCATTGTCTTACTATTCTTCTGAAAAGAGCATGAGAGATTCTGAGAGTCATAGTAAGTATAGTTTATATCTGGGAAATCTGGACGATTGGTGAATGCTATCCTCATTGGGTACAGCTGGACTACTAACCCAGGGAAATGCAGAGAATATCCTTTTCTTTGGGTAAACATTCACTGGAAACATTTTATCGATGGCAACATTCACTGGAAACATTTCATTTCTTCCATCGAATCCTGATGCTCAAGAAAATGACATATAGGTAAGTGATCTTTTTCTATACGCAAACCTTCATCTTCTCTGTCTCTGTCTCTGTCTCTCTCTCTCTCTCTCTCTCTCTCTCTCTACTCCCGACCTATGTACTCAACCCTTGAAGCCTCCCTCTTCTATCCATGTTTCTCTTTGTAACCTACCGCTCCACAGTGGGAGAGAGACAACATTTTTTCTCTAAAAGTTTCTACTTTGAAGCACCTTGTGTCGTTCACAGAGTTGCTAGATCAATTGGCTTCTCCAATCCTCTAGAGAGAGAGAGAGAGAGAGAGGGAGTGTGTAGAAGACAAGAGGCCATCTGCATCATTCCCAGGGTTGAGAACTCTATTTTGCTCCCACCATCTCTACATTGTGGTTCTTTTGTTGCATTATGTAAATATTTCTCAACTTTTATCTCACCTTACTGCTTTTTCTGCATGTTCTATTGAGTACCAGTTGCTTTTCCGAATGATGATTTGGATCCCCATTAACTGTGATAGTTTGCTTTAAAGCTGCAGCTTCTCTGTTGTTATGATTATGGATTGTCGATATCTTATTCTTGTTCCTTGAATCATTCTCGCGTTTTCTACTTTGTCTTCATGAATGTGATATGGCTTGACATATTTTGTCATCCGTTGCTTACATGGGTACCACCTTTCTTTGATAAGTAGTGCTTTTACTGCTCCGCAACTTTCTACATATTAAAGATATGCATTGTAGTACAAGATATATGTAGGGAGTTTGAACTTCTTTCTTCACAATTTGTTAGTTTGTGATCATAGAGGATATTGGACACACTACATATTCCATACAGTTGAAACTTGCTGGTACATGTATGAAAATAGATGCAAATATTGTATGCTTTTCCCTGCACACTTTTTTGGCGCCTTCATTTCAATTCCACCCATAAGTTTAACTCGCGTTTCTCTATTAGAAGCTTGCCCGTTTTTCTTGTCAGACTACCTATAGGTTCCTCAGTTTTGGTTTATCGAATCATATCAATCCTAGATATCAAAAAATTTTGGATGGGTGTTGCTCAGAGTAGTTCATATTAATTTGAATTGATGGCCTGTAGATGTTTTCCATGGTCTTGTGCCATCTACACCTTAAAGTGATGAAATTGAGGGGTATGCCCTACCATAAAACATGTGCTTGTCATAACTTTATTATACTCTTGCATGACGAGAGTAGTCTTCAATATTTCTGTATTGAAGTCTTTTATTAAAAAATGAGGATTTGTTTTGGTTAGTTAGCTGAATGAAGTCTTATGGGGAGGTTTTGTTTCTTTTGTGAAGTTTTATATCTTGAAGTATTTGAAAAATTGGGATTGGCTAAATTCCTCCTATTCAGCAATTTAATTGACAATCGCCATCGTCTTGTAACATTGCAAACTTGTTTCTTTAATTTCTGCTGGTATTGACATGGGACCCGGCCTGCATAATATATGTGCAGAAAATAGATCAGATGAGCAGCAGGTTGCTAGATTGTATCAATCTGTGTGATTTATTTTGTGGAAATATGAGCACTTTGCCTCTTGGGTTCTCATATCTTCATGTTTTGCAGAAAATAAAGGTTCTTCTTCAATGCGTTGGAACTTCTATGTGCACTGACCAATCAGACTGGTTTGGAGATGGAGATGCAAATAATCATTCAAGAAATGCTGATCGATAAGTTTTATCAAAATTTTTACAAGCCCATCCTGCGGATTTTGCCACCCTGAAGTTGGAGGTAACTTCTGTGAAATATTTTGCTATCGTTTTGTTGCTCTTAGATGAAGCCCTTTTCTTGGATTTTGAAAGTTTGCTTGTCGAGCGGGTGATTGTTCTCTTTTTCAGGTTTCTCCCTATTTTTGCACATGTTTGGCCATACTCTCTCCTTGCATTTTATGCATGCTTGATGCCGATTCTACTGGTGGAGACTTGGTGTGGCAATAGTCCAATTATTTGTGTATGTTAGTGAGCAATTGGGATTGATTGGTGAGAGTGATGTGAACTGGTAGACTAAATTTTCCTTTTAATCTTGAAGTCGATTAGGCAGTTAATATTTCCTTCTTGGATTTTTCTAGATTTGATTGAAGATTCATAATTCTCTAGTCTAGTTTACAGGTGGCTCTGCCTAGTTTTGAATGGCTTTGAGCCAAATAATAAAAAAAGGGTTCTTTAAGAGAAACTATCTCAAGTGATTTTTTTTAGAGAACGGTATTTATACTTTTTACGTTATGAGAAAAGACATCCCCTGAGCTATGTGGGGGTGTAAGAAGAAAATTGGGCTGTATTACCCAACTTCCAAAACCGTGGTGAGGATTAAAATCACATATAATGCTCCTGAAACCATCAGGGAAGCCCTTGCTTGTATCACAATGAAGCCATAAATTCATTCCATGAATAGTTTACTGTTTTTTTCACATAGAATAGAAAAAAAAAAAAAAACCGTCTCTTTGTCTCTCTATGACCTGCTCAACTTTGATCCCCCAGTCAGTTCGATATCTTGTCAACGAAAACAAGTTGAAAGGGGAGACACAAGAGGAGAGCTTGAGAGAGATTCCTGAATTCCAATCTCTATGGGGCGACATCTTCATTATAGCGTTATATACTGCAAGGGTCATTTGTTAAGGTATGTAGAATTACATAAATGGCCTTGACATTCAGGGCCTTATAAGGGATTGGGCTTCGGTTAAGACGGTAGCATTGGGTTTTCATAGTACTACGTCTCAAGATCCATTCCTATTTAACCTTGTCAAAAAAAAAAAAAAGGCATTCAAGGGCCTTATATTGTTTAGTAAAATAACAAACAAATGACAATAATTCCTCTTCTGCATGCCATACGCATTATAATACATAGTGGAACTCCTCAAATTGTACATCTTTCTTGGACATATATGATTTATCTTTTAAGAGATGCTGTTCACTGGTTATCATTTTGGTTAAAATAACCGCTATCGGGTTTTCGATTCCTGTATTATCCCTTTGAATTTCATCTGTTTATATATTCTTGTAGACAAAATGGTAATCGATATCTACGTGCTAAGTACTTGGTACGATCCTGAAAAATAGGTTCAGCTGCAATAGCGAGTGCACTCTGATTATCATAATAGATAGTGGACCTCTGTACTCTATGGCTGTGATATACTACCAGGTTTCTTATCCAAGAAATGTCTACCACAATGCTTGTATATGCTCTATGTTAGCCTCCTTACTTGATCTTGCCACAATATTTTGCTTCTTGCTCCTCTAAGATATCAAATTTATTTCTAAATAAACACAATATTCTGAGATTGACTCGTGAATCAAGATCTCTTGCCCAATTGGCATTAGTGTAGCCAATATGCAAGCTACATGTGCATCATCTATTTGATTTGCAAGCATATAATTCAGTGATTAATGGTCCTTTTCAAATGTAGGATAATGCACTTTATTGCTTCCATATGGGCATTGGTGGGTGCATAAACTTCTACCGATTTAATGTGAAGGTTATGTCAGGACATGTAGGGGATGGGATACTGAAGTACTTCTACCATGCCGTTTTGATTTTCTGTTTTCTCAAGTCATTTTTGTGGATTCACGCTCAATTTTTTGTTGAGGGCTGCTAGAGTGGCTAATGTGTTGAAACGCGACGTACTGGTGTGCTCAAAGAAAACAAGCTCTTATTTATGTTGAGATAGTTGGAGTTCATCCTGAATGCGGTCTTCTGCTTTCCCCAGAAGTACATTGTTGTGCCGAATCTTTCACCTGGAATCTGTCCTGAAGAAATCTCTTGACATTGGTGATGAGATCTAGAGATCTTCTTGTAATGTTGATGTCATTGACATACAGGGGGATAATTACACTACCTTTGGTGCTCCTATGGATGAAAAGAGAACGATCCGCTGTTGTCGTAATTAATCCATATTCCTTTGCTTTGATCCATGGATAATCTCTGTGAGTGGTGATGATAGGGTTATACAACGTGCAACTTCAAAAAAATTTCATCCATCTTGTAGGCCTTCTAATTTTAATCTCCCTATGTATATCAGCAAAGATTTAATGTTGAAAAATTGGCTCCCTGGCCACCTGGACAGTCCAAGCAAGCCAAGCGAATGGGCTTGAGCCTAGGTGCATGCATAGGAGCTCTTCAGGCGAGTCCCTTTTGCACTTCTGTTCATTTATTTAGAAAGATAAAAGGGTCCTTTTCCTATTTTTGTGAGAAATGAAGTGCGGTTCTTTTATTTAGGGAGAGAGAATATGTTCTTTAGAGACAGAATTTTTATTGTACTTGTGATCTTATTCATTTTTTTTAAAAAAAAACAGGTATTTTTGTGAGAAAAAACTATGTTATTTTATTTAGAGAGACTTTGGTCTTTAGAGAGGGAGAGAGTTTTCATTGTAGTTGTGCTTTTTTTCATTTACTTTAGAGAGAAGTATCCCTTTTAAAATTTTGGGAGAGATACTTTTATTTTAAATAGAGAATTTGGTCCTTATGGAGAGCGATTTACTATAATTGTGATTTTGTTTTTTATTTCAGAAAAAAGTGCCTTCTCCTAATATTAGTTTTTATATACAACTGCACATGGATGGCATTAATATTACCTTCTCTACAAACCAAAACAATACTAGGGACAGAGGGCTTCCTCCGACCTTTCCTTCTTCTCTCTTCCTCCTCCCGGCAGGTGCCATTCGCCTAGGCATCTGAGTCTGAATTTTTAAAAAATGGCCTATTTGTAGTGTTATGCAGGGGTAAGAAAGGATGAAGTTATTAACATTCTAATTGTAATGGGATATATGGAGTCAGTTATCCAGCCATTAGACATTCATTTTGGATCAGGGGTAAATATTTCACCATTATTTTTTTGAGGAATCCCATTCCGACATTCTTCTAATCCTGGGTGGATTTCATGTGAACATTTTACAGGGTCTTGCAATCCAAATTGGATCGTAACTAATTTTCAAATTGAATTACAATTTCACCATCCAAGCCTAACCATAACTGAACTTTTCAAACTCACAACTTAAACTTAAATTTTGTAATAACAAATTTACCCTTCTGGATGGTACTCGTGAATAGTACTCATGAATAATACTTATTAATTTGTACTATCCACGGGGGTAAATTTGTTATAAAAAACCTAAAAATAAGCTCTCAAAGTAAACTATAATATACATCTTTTAAAGTTGAATAAAAATAAAGAATACAAACAAATTTTCTTTCCATCATTCTCTCTTGGTTGGAGAAAAGTCATCATCGAGTTTTGAAGTGTGCGAAAATGAAATTGGCATTAATCTGTCAACATTCTTTAACTTGTATATTATAAATATGATCCTAGGACTTGTGGGTTACTGCGTTGATCAAAACACGATGATTATGCATTGGAACTGAAAAACCCTCTCGGAAAGGGTCACTATATGTCAACAAAATATTTTTAATCATATAAGCTTGTTGAATTTACATCACTTGAGCCATGTAACCCTATTGAATTTGCATGTGCTCAACTCCAGAGCACATCATGAGTGTATCTTTAAGATAAACGATTAAACCAACAACTTCACCCTCTTCCAAAATATCCTCACCATCATCATGATCCTTCTCATAGATCGGATCTCCTAAAACATCTTGTTGTTCATTTGAGTATATATTGAATATTGATGGTGAATCCCAATCTACAACATGCAGTCTTTCCATGCAATCTGTGTCAAAATAAATAATCTCATCCTCCAAATCAAAAACCCTAGAGTGATGTTCCCTACATCTAGGGCTTCTATTGCTATCCTCATGACTTTACTTCACACGCGGAGTGCAAAAGTGAAAAGGCTTGTACTTGATATCCTCTTAGGCTGAAGATCATTGTCTTGCTCATTATTGAGGTTCGCAAACTGCTGCGCTAGTTGCAGTACTTGCCTTTCAAGTTCTTGAATTCTGTCATCTAGGGGATCACATAGTGGATCTACGAAAACCCCTTCTACGTCCCTCTATCATGGCCATAGGTTTGCCAAAATTCTAAACCCTTGGTGAATAATCACAAAACATTGCATCAATTAGCAAGATCCAAGTTGTTTTGGTAAATTTTTTGCCAAAATCCGCAAAGCCTAGACCCCACTATAACTTGCCCTCTTTGTTAGTGACCTAGGGCAACAAAAAAAGTGGTGCTACGTTAACTTCGTATGTGCTACAGAAACTACTTTCTTCCTACAGTAACTTTCGTGCTTGCTACAGTTTCTCTCGGAGTGTAGTTAAGTACTGGCTATTTGAATTGGGGGGCACTGCTCGGCATTTTCAGGACAATGAGTGAGTTGCTCAAACAACCTCAATCGGCAAGAGAGGGATAGATACCAACTATTTCTTCCGGCTAGCTGGAGCGAATGGATATCCGGGGGCTAGAGGGCGAGGGACTTGAAGGAGGCTCCCATGGAAGTACAATGAGTGATTAGGGTCTCCGTGAAGGATGTATGTAAGGTCTAGTTCTTGTCCGCTCGAGATTCAATCACTAGAGGATCTTTTGGAAATTCCGTCTCCAACAAATCTTTTGTTCGGGGAGTGGGGAGCAGTGAAAAAAGGATTAAGAGACAAGTGGTTGGTCTAAAGCTAACCACTAAAAGCATCATGCCTGGATGAAAGAATGCTTGAATTAGAGGAAAAAGACACACTTTGGTGATCCTAGAAAAAAATGGGTAGATCCTAGGCTCTGATACCACTTGATGCAAGGAAATTTAAGAGCAAATAGTAAAATCAGCAAGAAACAAGCTAAACACTCGCATAAGTTGAAGAAACCACGTGTCTTCTCCATACCCAAGCTAGGGTTGCAAAAGCCTAAGCTTTTCTCTTTTTCAATTTCTAAAAATCATGTGGAATTGGCGTTAATTTGGCAACATTCTTCAACTCAAATATTGTAAATATGATCATGGGACTTGTGGGTTACTACACTGATCAAAACACAATGATTATGCATTGGAACTGAGAAACCTTCGAGAAAAGGGTCACTATATGTCGATAGAATATTTTTAATCACATAAACTTGTTGAATTTGCATCACGTCAGCCATATAACCCTTATGAATTTTTCCCAGGCTCAGCTCTAGATTACACCATGAGTGCATCTTTGAGATCAACGATTAAACCAAAACATTCACCCTCTTCCATAATATCTTAACCATCATCGTGAGCCTTAACAAAGATCGGATTTCCTAAAAGATCTTGTTGTTCATCTGAGTATGTATCGAAGATTGGTGACGAATCCTAATCTACAACTCGTTGACTTTCCATGCATTCTGTGTTAATAAAAAAATTCATCCTTCAAATCGAAAACCATAGAGTGATGTTCCCCACATTTAGGTCTTCTATCGCTATCGTCATCACTCAACTTCACACACGGAGCGCAAAATTGAAAAGGCTTGTGCTTGATATCCTCTTGGGCTCAAAGATCACCGTATTGCCCATTATTGAAGCTCGCGAACTGTTGTGCCAGCTGCTGTACTTGCATTTCAAGTTCCTCAATTCTGTCATCTATGGGATCACGGAGTGGGTCTACGAAAATCCCGTTCTCTTCTCGCTGCTATAGGTTCACCAAAATTACAAACTTTAGGTAAATAATCAACAAAAATTGCTGAAATAAGCAATATCTAGGTTGTTTTGACAAAATTTTGGCTAAAATCAGGAAACCCTAGACTCCACTGTAACTTTCCCTCTTTGTTGTTGACCAAGGGCACCAAAAAATGTGGTGCTACAGTAACTACGTATATGCTACAATAACTTCCGTACTTGCTACAGTAACTTCCGTGCAGATCGCGGGCTTTGATACCACTTGATGTAGGGAAGAAAATAATAAAATAAGAAAGAAACAAGCCAAACACAAACACAAGTCAAAAAAACTAGGGGTTTTTCTCCATATCCAAAGCTAGAGTTCTAAAAGCCTAAGCTTTTATCTCTTTCAATTTTTAAAAACCATGTGTAATTAACCCTCTTGAGGCCCCACATACCTTATATATTACAATTCAATGTTCAAGGATATTATACATCCATACAATAATTAAAATGACTTATATATCCTAACTTAAATTTAAATTTTGTATTGACAAATTTACTCTTGTGAATAATAACCTTGAATAGTACTCATAATAGTACTTGTGAGTAGTTTCCATGAAATAAACAAAAATAGATAAAAACACTAGAATCCTTAAAAATCTAAAAACCCTAGAAATAAGTTCTAAAAGAAAACTATATTATACATCCTTTAAATTTGAATAAAAATAAAGAATATGAACAATTTTTCCCTCCATCAGAGAGGAAAAACCTAAATAAACCCTATTTATTGTAAAGACCTTACTTAAAACCTAGAAATCCCTATTCTCATTGAAATAGAATTCTTAAATTATAATGATATTTTTTCCCTTGGTAAAAAAGTAAAGTCTGTATGGACTCTAACTACACTGCCAAATAGCCCCTCAAGTACTTAAAAAAAAAAAAAAATCCTTAAACAAATTTAAAACCCTATAAATAAGCCATGAAAATCCAGAAAATACATTTTTAGAATTTACTAGGCAAAATAGAAGGCATTTTGTGCTGCATCATAAATGTACACAACGCACAAAATATATCTTGCAACCGAATTTTGATTAATTGTTTATGTTAATTTAGAGAGTAAGTAGGTTGAGCTCCTGTGCCTACAGAAGCTCCTTCTTTTGCCACCCTATCTGCCTTAGCATTGGCTGATCGGTGAATGTGCTTGAAGGTAAGGTGGGGGAGGGAGTTCAATAGGAAAATATTTGGTCAAAGATTGAGAATAGGCTCCAAAGCGGTTGCTGTTGGTGGGTGGGTGGCCGAAAGAAGGCCATTGTTGGAATAAACTTCTACCACTAAACCTTGAACATTGGTTCCCATCTCATCTGTGCGACCCTTTTGAGGCCTTCTAGCAGAGCCATAGCCTCAGCAAAGGTAAGAGTCGTGGACCCCAATGTAAGCTAACAAAGAAAAAACAATAGAAGCATAGTCTGATAAAGTTTCCAGAGGATCCTGGGTTTCCCCATCAGTATTAAGCTTAAGGAAGCCCAAGGGAACTGTCTGGGAAGATAAATGTTGGAGACAAGCCCAATTAGTAAGGAAATCTTGGATTGGAAGGGTAGCTAAAATGGGAATATTTTGGCCCAAAGAAAGATGAGGGTAGTAAGAGACTCAAGACTGATTAAGTGGATTTCAAAATTCCTCTGCAAATTTCTCCGCTATAGAGAGGTGATCACTAAGGAGAGCAAACTTGCAAAGGAGTAGGGT